CTTGGAGGTTCTGTTGTAAGTTGGAAGGCAACTTTGCAACCTACAGTGACTTTGTCAACTACGGAAGCAGAGTACATGGCCTTGACAGAAGTTACGAAGGAGGGAATTTGGTTAAAAGGGCTGGTTAGTGATCTTGGTCTGCATCATGATAAGGCTACAGTGTACTGTGACAGTTTGAGTGCGATTTGTTTAGCCAAGGATCAAGTTCATCATGAGAGAACCAAGCATATTGACGTGAGATATCATTTCTTAAGGAGTGAGAGGAGAATCCAAGTGAAGAAAGTAGGAACTGCTGATAATCCTGCTGATATGTTCACAAAGCCGGTTCCGCAAAGCAAGTTTCAACACTGTTTGGACTTGCTTAACATCAGAAGTTTTTAGTAGCCCTGCGGGGCAACTCTGAGGAAGAGGGGGAGGCCGGGCACAATCAAAGTGCATCTGAATCTGAAGGATCTGTATGGAGAATTCAAGTCAAGGTGGAGATTTGTTGTAATGCCTTGAATCTGACTCGTTACAACATCCGGAGAAGTCCAACTCCTGAGAAATCCGAATTCCGGAGAAGTCGAGAAATCCGATTTCCGGAGAAGTCAAGAAATCCGAATTCTGAGAGGTCCGAATTCTGAGGTGTCCGAACCCCATTCTATTTGGGCTTGTTTAATTATATGTTAATTCTGTATTTTTGGGCCTAAGTCTGTTAGGGTTTCGCCAAGCACTATTTATATGGGTGCTACCACAAACCCTAGTTGTTGTACTCTGTTCTTGCCTCTCCAATCAGAAATAAAACTGCTCCCCCTCTTCCCCGTGGACTAGCCAACACAACGTTGGTGAACCACGTTAAATCTGTTGTCGTGTTTTTCTCGTTTATATTTTCTCTTATTCTCGAATTCTGCACAACACGTGCCACGAGCCGTTGGGTACATACTCCATACGGACAACCGGCTAAAGACTAACGGGCCGCTAGGAATGAACGTCTAGACGGACACCGTGACAAACGAGGTAGGCCAAAACATGCTCTATACCATGATAAAATTAGGACGGAGTATGAATCATTGGATTGGGCAATAAGACACTTGAGCTGAACCACATTAAAAGATTGAATCCAATTGATTAGTTAGTTCAACTCAAGAGCTTATATACCGATTATTTTCTTCTTGAACTTCTGATGTGAAATGACACTCTAACAGTGTGTCTTCTGCTTCTGCAAGTCTGCAACTATGCTATAACATCATTTCTAACAGATTATTCATTATACCTATCTACTTGGTTTTTGTTTGGTGATTTTTGATGTACCCCACGAAATAACAAAATGAACATAAAATATCATCAATAATCACGCCTAAGTTCAATGCAACAAAGCACGACACGAGTTTAATTCGGACGCATTGATTGTGAATTTGTTTTAATTTTGTTATGTTTAGAATAATCTACTCCAGATATATACTACCTCCGTCCCACTCTTTTTGTCCAGTTTTGACTTCTGGAACTGTTCATCTAAGCACTTTGACTTATCAAATTCTCTCAATGTGTAAGTCTAAAAATAGTCATGTTTGATTTGTCTTAATATATAGATTATTAATATATAATTTTTATAATTTTTTAATATACAAATTACAAGATAAAATGGATTAAAGAAATGCATTGGATGGTGTGCAAAAATGAAAGTGGACAAAAAGAGTGAGAGGGAGGGAGTATGTATCTTTCAATCGTGTTTTCCCATAAATAGTTGTGTAATAAATAGAGCTAAATAATGGAGCTTGTTTGGAAATTATTTCTGAACTTTTGATTTGTTTGATAATTTGCATTTGTTTATCACTCATTGACTTTTTCACAAGTGTAAAAGTTAAATTTAGGCGTGTTTTTTTCAACAAAATTAAGACTAGATACTATACGTTTTTTTTCACTTGTGAGTTTTGACTAATTTTTGTCAAGAACTTAACACAACACCATAATCCAAGTTAATGACCATTAGAGACAGCTGGCAACTGGCAACTGGCAATTGGCCGCATTGATGTACGCATGCATTAATGTGAGAAACAGAGAGTAGTAGTCCGCACTCCGCACAGTAGATAAAAGAAATACGGAGTACTCCGCCCGCATGGGCAGCTCAGTTGGTCAAGAGCGTGAAAGCTTGGAACAATGACCAGGGATCGAGTCCCGCAAGCGGCAGTGTGGGAGCTATCCAAAAATTCCATAAAGGGTGAGGAGGCTCCTTATGCGCAGTGGGCACGGGTCTAGCGTTCTTGGCTGACTGAGTCACCATGATTTACTTCCTCCACCATTTCTGTCGGACAAGGGGGTGGGGCACCTGGGGTGGGCAATTCCACCTTTTTGGAACAAGAAATACGGAGTACTCCGTAATAGAGACCCCAGCCAGGGAATTTAACATTTAAAAAAATAGAGACAAATAAAGGACAATGAGACAGAGCATTGAAATGCCTTATCTTATAAGTTTCCTCCCCACTCATGCTCTGCATTATCACGCCACTCAATGAAATCAAACGTTAGGCTAAGAGTGCTCGTAATAATATGAAGCCTCCGGGCTTCAAAATTTTTTTCTGGCGCGTCAGTTTTAACTTATTTTATAGTTTTACTGGAATGACTTTGAAGCTTCATGGCTTCAAACTTTTATTTTTTAATTTTTTATACACATTTTATAAAATTAAATTAAATAAAACTTCATTTTAATTAAATTTAAATGTCAATAATTCATTAAATTAAAAAATTACATTCAATAGAAAAGAATATTTAATAAAAAAATACATGAATAAAAAAACTAAGACAAATTATATTTAGCTTTGATCTCTTTTTGTCTTCTCTCGTAAAGCATACGTTGTTACAATTCTTGTACGGATTACAACGGACGGGGAAGATGAACGGCCCCGGAAATAAATAATAAATAAAATTCTGAATTTATAATTTATTCAGAATATTACAAAATAAACAAAGTTAAAAATAAATTTCTATATCTTCAAACGGCCTTGTTGTACGAGGACATGAAGGACATTAAGCACTGGACAGCGAGGTCTTTAAGCACTGGAAAGCGAGGTCTTCAAGCACTGGACAACGAGGTCTTTAAGCACTGGACAGCGATACAAGGAAGTTATGCACAGGGCTGCGAGGACATTATGCACTAGGACAGAATGCAGCGAGGTCTTTATGAACTGAACCTGCAAAAACACAACACCGTGGAAGGACAGCGGAGTCGCCGGAGCTGTCCTTAAGGTAGTAGTGCCCGCCTACCATACCGGAAAACGTGGGCACTCTCCTCCCAGGATAAAACCGCTATCGTGTGTGGAGATTGTACGGACCAACCACACACCAACGAACAAGAACAACATAGGAACGTTGGCGACCAAAAACTTTAAAGGGGATGGCCGGAAAATCAAGAGCTCTCTTTAAAAGAAAACAAAAAGAATGTTTTCTCTTTTTTCCTTTCTCTCTTTCTCACGCAAGGCACACAAGGGAAAAAGGAGTGAGCTTTGAATTTTATAATCAAGGAGTTTAGAAAAAATGTAACTCCCACCATTAACCATTGAAATTAATCATGGCATTTGTGGTGTGTTAATGGTGATTAATTAGCCATTAACACGTCCGTTACGCTACGCTCCGTTTAAAATTTGTCCCGAATAATTGGAGATTAATGGCCAGTTAACTCCGTAAAAATG